GCACGGGCGCCGCCCGATACTGCGTGTCCTACTCCAGCGATACCACCACTTCTCCCTTGTAATATGAGGAAATTAATTCCCACCAGCTGATAACGAGGCTATTACTACACCAACAACGGCGAGAGGTGCCTCAAGTGGAACAGCCCGGCACAGCGGAGCCTTTCGGATCAAAGGTCTATTGAGCTGAAGCTACAAGATAGAAGCAATTTCCTCAACTCTCTCTGCATTTCTGACTCACAACGTTGACACCCCAGAGTGGCCCATAGTGCAGATGAGCCTCGGACATGGGAATTCCTGGGATCCCCTCATCCAGGGGGACGGCAGCTTTGTGTGGGTGCTCGCAAGGCCTCAGCAAGCCAAGAGCGAGGATGAGGGTTGTCTTCTATCAGCAAACACCCTAAATCACTCAGAACTGGCAGGGAGTTCCCTAGATGCAAACATTGAACGTTTATTATGTCTCCTCACTCGCCGCTCCTCAAAAAAAGTCCGTTAATTAAATACTTTAGAAACGATTAAAGCTCTTACTTGGAGCTCGTCTCATTGGCACCTGTTAATTCCGTGACCCCGCAGAGCCTCGCAGTAAACGTCTCGTCTGATCGCTTCTGCTGCCGCAAGTCAGCGTCTTCGAGACAAAGACGACGCCGTGCAACTTCACGTACCACAACACTGCCTTAAAATACAAAAGCCAGTATCTAGAGGCATAGAAACAGAGCGTTTATGTAGACAGGGCAGCACAAATAATCTATTTAACCTAATCTTTTAATTACAGGAAACATCTCATAGCAAGACATACAAGAGCAATGAATTGACCCAGAGCTAGAAATCAAGATGATATATTTGTGCATGTGAAAGTAACACCAGCAGAATTCATAAAAGAAAACCTCCTTGGGCATTATTATCTTTCCGTCAGGATACACTGTCATCACATTGAGAGCAGGAGGGAAAAAAAATGACTTAGAATATGTTTTTAAAACACAAATATGTAAAAGAGAGGGTAAAAGGGAAAGAAAACAAGAGAAAGGTAAAATTAAAGGCGAATGTGCAGGTAAAAAGGAAATCCGAATTTGAATTAAAAATAAATAATGCCAATAAAATAAATAAAATAAAAATCAATAAAACGAGCATTGTACAGGGGGGATAAAACCACGGGAGAGCCCCGGCGGCAGCCCCAGTGTGAGCCAGCAGCAGCCCCGCGGGAGCCGCGAGGACTCGTCCCAGCGCCGCGTTCCCTGCGAGAGGCTCCGGAGGCGCCGGGACGGCAGCGCCCGCCGAGCGGTCCTGGGGCTGCGGGAGCCTCCGGAACCAACACGAGGGGCAGGTGGGAATAAAAATGTAAAAATAGTACACCCCTTGTCATATATATAGAGATATATATATTTTACATTTGTGATATTCTGACCCTTTGTCAGATCCTTTACCTTTCTGCATCTAAGTCATTCCTGAATATTTGGAAAAAAAAAATAAAATTGGCTTCCCTTCCTTTGATCTTCTGCTATTGGATTACTTCTTCCTACTCCCTGGACACAGTTCTCCACTCCCACATTTATTTTCCCCCATTTCCTTGTTTACATTCAATTTTAGTATATTTCTTCACACTTTTCTACACTGGTAAATTCTGTGTTACGTTCCAGCAGGCATTTTTCTCTCTCATTCCTTACTTTGCACTTTTTCCTGATTATGTAGCCACAACACGGATGAAAAACAAAAGGAGAAAATGTATCCAATGCTGAAAACCTGATCCTTTTCCCTGCAGCAACACCCTCGGCCACGTCGCCCTGCCATTGTTTCCCAGCCCAACTTGTATTTCCAAGCTTGGGAATTCCCATCAGTCTGCCTGACAGGGTTTTCCTGCCTTTCCTCGGAAGGTGTGCATTTTTCAAATGCCACTCACATACCACTACGGCATTTCCCAGGACTAACAGCTTCGCTTGAGGGACTCTTATTCAAGAGATTTAGCTGAAAAAAATGAAATAACAACAAAAAGAAAACAACAACAACAAAAAAGCAGGAGAATCAAAAGTGCTGATTTACATTCTATAAATCAAAACTATAACCAATGTTTTTCAAAATATTGCTATAATTATTTTCTACAGGCTGATAAAGTGCTGGACTTCCCTTCTTGAATGCTGGTTGGTGAGTCTGTTAACACTAAACAAAATGCTTGTTTAATTTCAGATTGTGAATATAATTATTAAAAGTGTGATTCCAAACCACTACCAAAAAAGCAGCAAACAACAACAGAAACCCAAACAAAATAAGGAAGGGGCCATATTTCAGCTGCTTGGTTGCTGTCTCGCAGTCCTCTCCGAGGGAATTGGGATACGGGCGGTTTTGCCAGGCTGAACCCTGCGCAAGGACCGAGCACGGCCTCAGAGGGGACAACGCGGGTGACAGGGCCCGAGGCCAGAGCAGCTTCACCAATTTGGGGCCGAGCAGCATCGGAGCACAGAAAACCCTCTCTCAACAGCAAGGAGACCAGCCTGGAAAACACGCCGGAGAGTCAGAGATGTAGCAATGCATCCCCCCGCCTCCCACTTTCCTCAGGATGCTTAAAACAGAGCCTGTGTTTCACTCGGAAAGGTGGGCAGCATTTTCCGAGTAAATTGTGCTGCTTCTTTCTACCGCGACACTTCTCCCTGCAGTCACTCCCACGAGAAGAGCCCGGGGACATACCAAGCTGCGCAGAGTCACAACACAGCACTCGGCTTCCCTGGAAAGAGGCGCCCCCGCACGCGAGGGGACACCGGGTGCCAACGGGCAGCGCTGCCACGCGCAAGGGGACAGACGAGGCCGAACCCGCTCCGCGCGGCCTGAAACACCCCGGGCTGCGCTGCGAGAACGGGCGCGCACGGCTGCTCCCCTTACTGCTCCGTCGTTTTCCGGGCGTCACCTTTTAATTTTACCACGCGCAAAGCACAGGCTTGTTCTTCATTGGAGAGCTCTCAGCACAGCCCGGGGTTAAAATAAACACCCATTTTTCAGGTTCTCAGCACCGAAAGGGGCTGACGCGCAGGGCTGCTGGCTCTGTCCAAATTCGGCACTTGGCAGTAACAGGTTATTTCAGACAGTTCAGGGGAAAAGCTCAAACCATTCCCTGAACTGAGCAGTATCGACGCCGTTCATCCGGGCCCGTACCCAATGACACACTGAATGGAATATGTAAAGTATGCCTCCACCTAGTGATGGCTATGCACAAATAATAGAAAATAATAATTCTCTTACTTCACAAAATCGTGGCAATAGGCTCCCTGCTTCGCAAATTTGACCATGCATTTGTACAAATGTGCCCTTTCCATCCGGAAAAATTAGTCCGAACTTCAATCTGTAAAATTTTACCTGCAGACTCTAATCACATCCCAAATATCAACTGTGTCAACGTTTTAAACCGCAACAGATTCCTAATAATCATGATCAGAAGAAAAAACATAGTAAAGGGACACTGAGTAATGTTCTGTGGATTTGGGGTGTTAAAATAATGTGGTAATGGAAGTCAGATCCTCCATTTTTAAAGAAGTGAGATAAGCTAGACATATCTCCCCTCTGCAACTTTGTAGGCCAAAGAAAATAGTTGCTCAGAAGAGTTAAAAAAAAAAAAAAAAAAAAAAAAAAAAAGTTACTGATTTATGTCAACATTTTATTTCCACAGAGTGCACTAGAATCGTCTAGGATCACCCTTTTTTCCCCCCATGATGAATCAATCAGGGGAACATTTGCTATTTTGAGAAAAAACTATAGCTCAAAATATAGCTCAAATTCCAGGTCATATGTTTTTTGGTCTGCAATTATAAGTGTGTCTACATGAAATAAATACCTTTTTTCACCCTAACTCAGGCAAGAGGCAATGACCTTCTTTTTTCTTAATTGAATATGCAGCAAAATTCCATCATTCCAGCCTCCACACCAAAACTCAAACCTTTAATAAATCCACAAAAACCCAATAAACTTTGAGGACCAGGTTTCAAAAGCGGGTGTCCATGTGGAAAACACTCTCCTAGGTCCTCCTTCCATTTGTACCACCTGAAAACCACCTCGAACGCCTCCTTGGGCTGACTAGGACCGCGCTGCCCGTTCCGAAAGGCTTAGCCAAGATTTCAAGGAAGGTAGTGGCTGAATGCAGAAACACCGGCACCAAACATGTAAACAATTCAGATTTGATGATCATTCAGGATTCATTTTTCTCTTTGTTTTTCAAGAGTTTGATAAATTGAGAGAGAATGTGCAACGTTTGGGCACGTATCCAGACTTTATTTTTTTCTTTTTATAATATTAACTTAGACTAAGAGGCCTGCAAAAGTCACAATGCTTTTGAAGTAATTTAGCTGTTCTCACACAGGAGAATTACAAAAACCTAAACCCTCAAAATCAAAGAAGAAAAGAGGAATATCCGCACTCCCTTTCCACTCCTGCTTGCTGAGGTCTGTGCAAATACCATTTTCCCCATTTTAGGGGTACATCATGGCCCTGCTGCAGAGTGACCCAGACTTTCCCAAGGTCACAAAACAGGGGGCCACAGAAGTAACTCTCAGTAGGTGCTTGGGCTTTCAGAACCGTGTCCCGACGGACCCGTGTGCCATTTCGCTCCCAGTGCTGCTGATGGGGGAAAATCGCCATTTTCAAATATCAAACCGCCACCGCATGCATAATTTAGAGATTCCAGGTTGACAGCAGCTGCATTCCTCTCCAGAGCAGACATTACCTCACCCAGCGCCCGGCTAAGACGAGCGCTCTCAGGACGCGCGGCCCGGCCGGGCCCGCGAGGCGCCACTCGCCACAGCGAAGCGCCTACAAACCGCTCCAACTCCAGCGGGAAGCCGAGCGGGAAGCTGAGCTCCTGCGACGGACCCGCTCCTGCAGGAGCCTCGGCCGGCGGGGATAACGGCCGGGATGGCGGCGGGGCCGGCGGCGCCCACGAGATGGCAGCAATATGTTTATGAATCAGGCGGCGGCGCGAAGCCCGCGGCGCCGGCCAGGCCGGGCCCCGCGCTGCCTCCGTCCCCGGGAACGTTACCTCGCGGCCACTGCATTGTGGCAACGCGGCAAGCGCCGGGGGCTTGGAATACGGATTCCCTTCCCTGATGGACACGTAATGTGCGGATATGAAAGCCGCGGCTGCGGGAAGTGAGGTGATTCCCGTAAGCAGCACGTGCAGGAGCAGAGCCGGGCGCTGGCCCCTCTCAAAGCCACGCACAGACCAACGCTCACGTCCCCAAAAGTCACTCTCCCAAGGAAGCCCCTATTGCTCCTATCGGGGTCATTTTCAGCACCGAGTGAGGTTTATAACAGCTCCTTGGTGCATTTTGTATTTTCTACGGGCCTTTCCCTCATAGGCCTGTTCTTACGCTATCTGCATCTCTCCTACTATTTTAATCCACA